GCTCGACACCAAGTTATGTCAGATAGGGGCATCGGTGGTTGTTGGCGGTATTGACCCGTACTGGAATTGGCGGGGGTGATGGAGTTGGTGAAGTATAGGACCTTCACAGTTACAGAGAAATAGTTGGTCATAGAACCTTGCCTTGGGAAGGCAAGGGATTTGCGCAAGGACAGGAAGGGGTGAACCCCTATAGGTTCAGTTCAGTACTCGGTGAGTACCAGAAGGATTGCCAGTTGAGTAAGTTGGGTCTCCAGGATGTTCAGGGTCAGGGTTGACCCGAGGTGTTATCTGCAGGGATTAAGGTTAGTCGGAAGGATCGAGCAAAAGCTAGCAAGGGTAGGCAGCTGGTGTTGGAATAGTTGGTTGGGTTTAGAGGCAGCTCGCAGGCAGTGGGCCATAGCAGACTTCGAGGATGAAGTTTAGTTTAAGTGGGGGAGAGTTGTAACACCCAAAGTTTCGAAGACCAAGAAAGGAAAGAAAACCCTAAGTTTAGGGGTCGACTCGGCGAGTCTAAGGGGGACTCGGCGAGTCCAAGCGGGATCCGGGTCGGGGAGTAAGTGACCGACTCGGCGAGTCGACCAGGGGGACTCGGCGAGTCTGGTCTGTGCGTGGAAAACCCTAAATTCGGGACTTGGGGCCTATATAAATGTCTTAATCTTCTTCCCAGGGTTCCTTACTGCCTCTTTAGCCCTGGATATCAAACCCTAGCCGTCATATCTCCTAGTTGAGCCTTGGAAGGTGCTTTAAAGCTTGGAAAAGGAAGAAGGAACTTGGAGGAGCAAGAAGGAGCTATAGATCTGGGATTGTGAGTTCATTTTGAGCACTTGGAGCTCGGAGAGCTGGAGGAGCAGCGGATCAGGGGATTGTCGAGTAGCAGCCAGAGATTTATCAGTAGGGTTCAGTAGTCTCAGGTGAGTTTCCTTCCAGTAGGGACGGGTCTAAGGCCACAATGCCGGCCCGTCCAGTTAGCAGTAGTTTCCGATGCAGTGGTTAGCATGTTTGATGCCTTCGTGGCTCAGACAGGATTTATGTGCTATGTTTTATGTGTTATGTGTTATGTGTTCCGGGCTACGGCCCGATGTAGTATGCAGTATATGTGTTCATGCTAGTTGATATGTTATGCTATGCTATGTTCAGCCAGTTAGCCCGGACTTCGGTCTGATGCAGGGGACAAGGTCCCAGTCAGTCTCTGGACTTCAGTCCGATGTAGGGGGCGAGGCCACAGTTAGCCCGGACTTCGGTCCGATGCAGGGGACAAGGTCCCAGTCAGTCTCCGGACTTCGGTCCGATGCAGGGGGCAAGGCCCCAGTTAGTCCGGACTTCGGTCCGATGCAGGGGACAAGGTCCCAGTCAGTCTCCGGACTTCGGTCCGATGCAGGGGGCAAGGCCCTAGTTAGTCCGGCCTTCGGTCCGATGCAGGGGACAAGGTCCCAGTCAGTTTCTGGACTTCGGTCCGATGTAGGGGGCAAGGCCCCAGTTAGTCCGGACATTGGTCCGATGCAGTGGGCAAGGCCCAGTATGTGCTTTATATGTTTTTGCATGGTATGTGTTAGATTGGGGGAGCTCACTAAGCTTCGTGCTTACGGTTTTCAGTTTTGGTTTCAGGTACCCAGTTTTCAAAAGAGGAGCTCGGGGAGATTGCAGTGCACACACCGTAGTCAGTTAGCCTGGGAATGTTCGACTCTGATAATGATATTATGCTTTGAATTAATACTTGAGAATTTATGTTATGACTTATGATACAATTTTTATAAATATGATTCTAGTAATGCTTTTAAATAAATTTTTGGTCGTGATTTTTGGGTTGTTACAGTCGGTGCTAATCGATAAGGTGTTTTTGCAATTGGCGTTGTTCCGGGAAACAAGTCAATACGAAATTCCACTTGTCGATCAGGCGGTAATCCAGGAAGATCTTCGGGAAATACTTCCGGATAATCACACACAACAGGAATATTTTGCATCACCTTCTTTTCCTTCTTAGCATCGATCACGAATGCTAAATATGATGTACATCCCTTGGTCAAACACTTTCTGGCTTTCATTAGGGAAATGATTCCAGAATTTACTCTGCGTTTATCTCCATACACCATAAACGATTCCTTTCTAGGCGGATTCACTTTCACTATTTTCTTCTTGCATAAAATTTCGGCATCATTGGCACTAAGCCAATCCATTCCCAAAACGATGTCGAAAACATTAAGTTCTATAGGCAATAATTCCTCGTGGAACTTATTCCCATTCAAGTCAATTAAGATGTTTTTCATACAATAGCTAACAGGTACAAACTTGCCACTAGCAACTTCGACTAATAGAGCATTATCTAGTCTAACAACAGGCAAAGCTAGTCTTCTACCAAATTCATGCGATATAAAGGAGTAGTTGGCTGCAAAATCAAATAAAATTTGGGTAGGCAAATTGTTAACGAGAAAGGTACCTGAAGCGACATCAGCTTCATCTTTAGCAGCTTCCAGTGTCATCTGGAATGCTCTCGCCTTTGGCTTTGGCGGAATGTTGGGTCTTGCTGCTTCCTTCTTTTTCGTACAATCTCTTGAGATGTGCCCCTCCTCACCGCAACCATAACAAACATTCTTGGTGAAGGTGCAGTTGTTGGCATAATGCCCTGGCTTTCCACATTTGAAGCATGTGGTTTCCCCGCCACACTTCCCATGATGCTTCTTCTTGCACTTTTCGCACCATTTCGCCTCTACCTTTCCTCCGCTTCCTCTCGAACTAGACTTCGAGAATTTACTTTTCTTGCTGGACGCTGAGAATCCATCAATTTTCCTTTTCTCACCATCCTCTGACCTTTCCAGACCTTTTTCCCTGATCTGGGTCTCAACATTTCTAGCAGCCCAGATGGCGGCTTTCAATGTGGTCGCTTGCTTAACCATTGGACCATAGTCCGCTGGTAGACCAAGGGCAAACTTGTTGACCTTAGAGAGTTCTGTAGGCACCAAATATGGGATAAACTTCATCTTTTCCGTGAAACTTGTAGCGTATTCAGTAATGCTCAATTTCCCTTTCTTCAAATTCTGAAACTCATTACTGATTTCCAGAAGGTCCTGCTCGGAGCAGTATTGTAGCTTTAGTTGTTCCACAAAGTCTTCCCAAGACATTTTGCTTTCTTCTCCCTTGGGCATAGAGTCAGCTAACAGCTTCCACCAACTCAACACGCCAGATTTTAGCAGAGGGATCGCAAGAGCGGTCTTCTACCTGTTGCTGCATTCGCAACTTTCAAACATAGTCTCCATTTCAGAGACTCAGTCCATAACTTGCACCGGCATCGGGCTTCCGGATAGGCATGGTGGTTTGGATGCCATGAAATCCTTATACTTGCACCCACGACCATCATTTCCTCCATACTGGTTATTGCATCTAACCACTGGTTGTTCGTCTTGACCAATGATCCCACTAAAGTTTTCTCCTTCAGACTGCCCTCCATTCTCCTCGGGCTCTTCCGCTTGAATTGACGGTTCTTCACGATTCTGCCTAAGCAGACGTCTTGTTTCTTCCATCTGACGATCCAACATCATTTGAATCATCATTTGTACACCAGCCATTGTTATCGGCTCAGGTGCAGCAGCTACAACAGGTACTTGCTCAATTACAGACGGTTGATTCCTGTTTTCATCAGCATTTCCAACTCCGCTTCTTGTTCTCACCATTTTGATCTATACACCGAATAATTTCACCTTATTACTCCAAACGATTACATGCTAGTTCTAATATCGTACATATACGCTTAGAATCCTAAACACATAAACCTTCAGATCCGGTTGGCAATAAATCGTAGATCCGAATAAATAATATCATATATGGCAACATATAACATTTAGCACATAAAAGCATTTTAGGCAACTTTCCTAAAATAAACTAGTGCTTGTGTCTAAAATCCAACAGACATACACCTCGCAATCTCCACTTAGCATCATAAGTTTAAGTTTAGAAATCCTACAAATTCCTAGTTCGCTTAAACTAATGCTCTGATACCAACTGTGACATCCCCAAAATCTCGGCCAGAAAAGACCGGTTTCATTTATGCTTTTTAAACATTTTCAGAGTAAATCCTTTTAATTTTAAAAGAGATGCGGAATTTGTTCCCAAAAACAAAACATGATAAAATAGATATTTATCAAAACATTTCATAAGACATATGACTTCATTTCATATTCAAAAGTCGGGATGTCATGTTCCGATACAGATCATAAAGCATAAACGATAGCATTACAAGTCATTCAACAAATATATACATATACAGACTTGTAAACAAAACAACTTGATGATTCGCCCATCTTAAGCTCTTGCGCCACTTCCTGTAATACAAATAAACTGAGTGGGTCAGGCTTGGGAGCCTGGTGAGCATATAGGGTTTTCAAACCCACAATAATTATATTTAATTACAACAATCCACAATAAACCCGATTACCCATTCCCGTTATCCTCACTTTACGTTCCTAAAAATAACGAACTACTAGAAAAACAGCCTTTTACGACGCTCATTGCGCGTCGTAAAAGGCGCAGATGACGCGCAAATGCGCGTCAAGGAAGGCCCTGTCATAAAGAGAGACGATGCGCTTTTGCGTGTCGTCTATAGACGGCGCGCATTTACGACGCTCATTTACGACGCGCAATTACGACGCTCATTTACGACACGCAATGCGTATCAAGGAACGCCCTATCATAAAGGAAGACAACACGCATTCGCGTGTCGTAACCTTACGACGCGCGTGTTAATGATACACAATGCGTATCAAGAAAGCCCCTGTCAAGAAAGGCCATGTCATAAATGAAGATGACACACATTTTTGCGTATCATAATTTTAAATGTTTAAAAAAATATTATTTATAGATTTACTTATTTTCAAATTAAATTTGTATTTAATGTTTCATAATAGAAAATAAAATATCATATACAAAAAATAGAATCCATTGCATAAATTTAATGTCATACAATTACATTTCTTACAATATATAGATTTGCATCTAATCTACTATGTATATCAACTAAGTAAAGTTGCATCTTGCCTTTCATAATTCTTTGAGACTAATGCTCCAAACAGCTGATTATATGGATAAGTAGTTGTAGATTGGCTCATCTCACTCATTAATGACTTAACAAAATTCAACTCAAAGTCTTTACTGCATGTTGTTGATAATGCTGCAAGATTTAAATCAAGTGGCTTTATACTCCTTTCTTCCATCAACTTTACTTGATGCACAAAATAAACAGAAACAAAAAAAAACATTGTAGAGGAAGGGGTAATTTGGGAAAATGTGAGGTGTATAATATAATAAGAATGCAAATACTTAATAGCACTTTCATGCCATCATGGAAACGTGTTGTCACTACTAGAAAGTAGAAACTAACTAAATCAGTTTTTTATCGGTTATGATTGTATATATTTTCAGTGATTTTGGATTTGTAACTTATTAAATGATTGTATCTATTTTCATTTTTTTTTATCGGTAATGATTGTATCTATTTTCAGTTTTTTTATCGGTTATGATTATATATGTTCAGGAATTAGGAGACATTTTCAACTTACATAATAATCTTTTTATTTGTAATTTTTATTGCATCCATTGAATCTTTTTGGATGTAATTTAAATGTATATATGTAATCATTTTTTGTTGTAATTTCATTTTGATCCATGTAATATGATTTTTTCAGTGACACTCAAGGTTGAATGTTTTAGTTATCATGATTATTATTATTATATCTTTTTATATATCTCAAATTTATAAAAAATATGGATTTTTTACCAAACGGATATCCATCGGGTTCCCCGTATCTAACGGGTTTTCTTTTACCCGGATCAATATGGAAACAAAAGTTGTATTTTATAAAATTACCCAAAATGACGAAAAACCAAAATATTTTGTTAAGTTATGATGTACCTCAATGTAGATGAAGTGTTCAGCTTTTTCAATAAGAGAAATGTAAGCTTTGTCAACGCTCTCTTCAACTTGACTTGTCCCATCTGACCATTGACTCACACTCCTTAAAACCTACAATTGAGAAATGTAAAAACCAAAAAATCTAATCTAATAATATATTTAATCATAAATAAAAAAAATACCTGACAACGACATGCAACACAAGGACCAACTTGACCTGTTTCATCAGCAGAAACAACCAAGTTACCTAGCATATCTGGAGTTGAAGTTTAAGATGATTAGTTTACTTGGAGTTAGTTACAATTTACCTGTTGTTGATTAGTTTCTTGTATCTGCGCCTTTGTCTACCAGCTCCAACAGCCCTTATACATGTAAAGGACTTGAAAGAGTAAAACTTAAAGACTACATAGCCACTTACAGTGAAAGACAAAAGCCACCAGGCCAGCATCTCAGTGTACCAATCTATCATGACCACGACATAAACAAAATTCATTTTAATAAAACTGATTTCATTAAAATAACAAGCTAAACAACACATCATTAATTTCAATTGATAAAACTTAATTCAAGGATAAAATAGATTTACCCGATATCAAAGGTCAAGTGTTCTAAATTTGCTTTGTACTCTTCAAGTAGGTTTTCCAAAAAAAGAAATCATTAATTTCAATGCACTTGTCAGTTTCTTTTATGTTAATGCTACCCGATGAGAGCGGTAGAATTATAACTAATGAATTCAAAGATAGTGAGACTAGAATATTATGATATGAGTTAATGAGAGTGCAAGTTACCATTTTTTTATTCCTTCAATAAGATCCTCACCAGCCACCAAATCAGATTCTGCAGCTCTAGCCTTCTGCAACTGCTCCATCAGCAAACACAGCTACATGCAAGGCCTGCAAATAAAAATAGCTTACAAAGGAGAAACCATATAAAACTCCAAGTCTCTTTAAATTATCACTTGGTGAGATCACAATCCCTATGAGCATCAACTGCACATTAGGACAAAAGAGAACCCAAATAAACCTCAAAGACTAACTCATTTGAATGCACATAAGGAAATCTTGAATCACCAGAGGAAAAGGCAGATCTAATGAGATCACCAGACCAACAGTAGGAACGTATATGAGCATCAACTGCAACATCTTTCAGTTTTCCACCCCTGACCATAGATAACATAGGATATGAGTAAACAAATATAATGGTCTTGGTATTGTATATGATTACATTACTTTATGGGATATTGTCAAGAAAACTGGTTCAGATTTGAACTCTTACCCCAAAATTTTCATTTAGGCTTCTAGTTTTATCCACTGTTCTTACCTTTTAACACCTGTAAAAAGAGTAGAACTAGAAAAAACCCTATGGTACATACAGATGCAGTTACTCTATGAAACCAAACCAACCAATACTCTCTACATACATACATACAATACAGATACATATAGATAGATATAAATACCACAAGAAAGAATAATAATAAAATAAAATAAAATAAAAAACAAAACTTGGGGAAAGGAGGGGTTCAATCTTGAATGCATTGGATCTCTCCCATCATAATACGGTTTCTGGTAACCTTAAACCCAAGCAGAGTTGGGTCGATTTGCCTCCCCTTTTTTCCTTTCTTTTTCCCACCACCACCACCACCACCAATTTTGCTATTATGTCCCTCTGCTGCACCCTCTGGATCTGGTGAGGGTGGCTTCCTAATAAGATGATTATTATTAATGCCACAGATGCATCACTCAATGATGACGTCCTCCTAAACCCACCACCACCTACCATAATCATCATGTTCTCCCTAGTTTCTCTTTCTCTGAAAGTTGATTCCACCTCACATAACCCCCCTTCATGAGATGATGATGATGATGATGAAGGACGTCTCACCAATATATTTATATTATCACTACTACTACACCTTTTTGATCCCCTGCTGCATACAAACCCTCAACATAAGAAACCAAAACATATCAATTATCTGTTCCAGGATTAATAACTGAAATCACCTGTCTTGACCCTCTCCTGCTGCTGCTGCAATAGACTCAACCCTATCATTGTACAAGATTTTATTCCCACATGCTAATATCATCTCACAAAAAAAATATATTTATTTACTATGCTACGCATAAAAAATAAATACCATCATAAACAGGATATAAATTTACTAAAATTATTTGGCATTTCCCCATGGTCTATAGCAGCAACACCACCTTGTTGATTTTCTGCGGCTACACGTATCATCATGTTGAAAAGCAAACCACCTGCATGAAAATTACACTTGACTCTCTTTCAGGCGTCCCATTGTTGAAAGCAAACCACATGCATGAAAATCAAGAAATGAGACTTTCTTTCCCTAACATTTTACGAATTTGCCCTTACCTGACAAATTGTGCAGAAACTAAGTTCTTGATCAGCAGATGAAACAACTTCCAACTTAGAAGACATAAATACCCTTGTTTACAAATAACCTGAAATAAAATCCTCTGATAACCCTGATCCAGCATTCCCAATCTGCTCTCCTAATGCAAGAAGCTCCTGCATATACACAAAAGGTCAATTTCGTAATTTGACTAAAAAAGAAGCCAATCTTTGTATACTCATAAGACATATGATTGATATCCATACGCATATCTCTATGATGATCAACTCTTCATCCATAATTAGAAATATCAAGCATTGCAACACCCTGTTATTAGAAAAAAAAAAAATAAAAGGAATTTCATTTTCTTGCATGATTTGATTATGAAGAGAGTAATATTTAATAATAATAATTAACATCTTCAGGAAGAACTCTTAAATGTGGAAAGCCATGTGGTCTTTCCAAGCTCGGTTAAAAGAGGGGTTTATGTAGAAGCTAGGGTTTATAAAAATCCACAGTTCCATTGAAGGAAAAAAGTTAGAGCATCAATAAAGATGAAGATCGAAACCTGCTTGAGATCTGGTCGAGATAAATTGGACACGACAAAGAAATTCAATGCACTGTTCTTCAATGTCAAATAAATTGAGAAGATGGTCTGATTCACCTGTCGTTCAATGAAATGATTCAAACAGAAGCCCTAATTTTAAAAGACGATAGCTATACTAAAAAAAGAGAGTCAACATGAGAAGTATCAAGAGGTTCACATTACCTTGGAGACGACTTGAGAAGTATTAATCAAAAGTTTCAAGATCTCTCTGCTACAATGGTTCAATCCCGCATTTTGATTTCGCCACAACCACCACAATGGTTTTGACTAGCGATTCAGTATAGGGAATAAACCATACAAAAGCTATCATATAACCCTTGGAGTGAAATTAAAGAAACCGTGAAGATTTTAGTGGATAGATGAAGAGCGATTTTAGTGAAGAGATGAAGAGCTGGGGAGGGGACGAAATCGATTTCTAACTGAAAAGAAAAATCTAATTGAATAGATAAGCCTATTAAGGTAGCGGTTAGGGAGGTGAGACGGGACGCAATCACATGTGTAGTGGAAGAGTCACATTCGTAGTCATCAGTGCGATGGAGGAGTTGCACACCCAATTGAGAGTGAAACGATTCAGTTATAAGTATTAGCTTATCGTTGGTCGATTTGTAATGAGGAAGGCTTGACGTCGCTGGAGGAGAAGTGACCAAAGGCGAAGCAAGGTGAATCATCCATTGTTTCAGAGCTAAGAGAGATGCGAGATTGTTTTCACTCTTGAAAAAAACCCTAGCTAAAATGGTCACAACGATTTTGTGGAATTTAGTATTTGGTGATGTTTTGGGATTTTGTTGTGCGAGAAAAGACGAGTGGTTATGATATTAGGGTTTTTTGGGTATTGATCAGTGAGGAGAGGGAAGAACGATGGAAATAATGCAGAGGATGAACGAGTTGTTTGATGATACTGAAGATGAAGATAAGGGACCTAGGGATTTTTCTTGCTAAGTAGAAGAGGTGGGGGGATTAATTTTTAGGGTTCGATAGGCGGGGGGTAATTTTCATCGATTTCATTTCCCGCCTAAAACGCGTGTTTCACTTAAAAATTATAAAGCGACACCATTACATGACGCACATTTTATGAAAGGCGCCCTCCGCATTTCTTTTTTTTCTTTTCTGACACTAATTTTAGGGCACGCACAAATGCGTGCCCTCTATCCTTCAAATTTTGCAAAACTGACATTATCTTTTAGGGCACTTGCAAATGCGCATCGTCTATCAGTGAGTGTCATTGTTTGCGCGTCATTAAAGGGCTATTTTCTTGTAGTGACGTCTATTATAAGGAACCTATTTCAGGATTTTTCATCGGGACAGACATTACTGCAGAGGGGCTTTCTCAACATTAAGTGTCCTAAAGGCAACCATGTGGGAGATAGAGTACACCGGTGAACACGTCGTTCACAACACCTACAGGTAATGAGCCTGCTAGTGTTCCACAGGACAGTCTAGAATAGTCCGTGGTCGTCATCCATACTCTGCTGAATGACTAGAATAACACCAATAACACCGAGGCCTCTCATCTGTTTATTACACACCAATTATCTACCCATGTTCTACCCAACATATTAGTAGATAAAAATATACATTTTTATACATAGTTTAAAAACCTGTATAACATGCTTTAATCAATACATATTCCACATAACAGATGAGGCATACACACATAACACGTATTTCATAGGGAATAAGTCAGATCTATGAGATAGAAGGGAGTGAATATACACTCACACATATAACAACACAATAATATACACGTAGCACGTATTTTATATAATATACTTCATAATATTGCGTTGGAATGAAAATAACTACACACTCACCTGATCAGAAGATGATCGAGCAGCACTAGGGCTTGCAGAAGAGCTGTTTCTCCGTAGATCTGGAAGATCTTCACAAAACCGGGCTCCTTGCGGGCAGCGTTTCGGCTCGGGAATAACGCTCTTCGGGATCCTCGGGGCTTCGGATCTTGCTTCGGGGCTCGGGAATATTACGGGGCTTCGGGGTATAAACGGCATGCAAAACGAGGCAAAACTTAGAGAGAGGGAAGAGTTTGAACAAGAGAAAATGGCTGAATTCGAGTTCTATTTATAGGCTGAGGGTTTGGGATTACGCGGGGCGTAATCTCAAATTACACGGGGCGTACTCGGGTTACGCGGGGAGTACTTTGATGTCACTGCGTGCGTCGACTGGTGGCACTTGAGTATCGGTCAGACAAATTGCATCCGACTGAGTACGCTGGGCGTACTCAAATTACGCGGGGCGTAATTGACTCGTCGAACTTCTAAATTGCGTAACTTTCGCATACGAGCTCCGTTTTCGACGTTCTTTATATCCACGCGAAGGTCAGACCATACTCTACAACTTTCATTTAGACTCCATTGGCTAATTTTGACTTTTATTTTTATTATTTATTTTTAGAAGGCCGGGACAGAAAAACTTCGTTATAAATTCATAACTTCTTCGTCTGACGTCCGTTCTCGCCTAACTTGTCATCGTTTCGCTACTAACAACGAGATCTTCGATTCTCATTTAGATTGTTTTGGCTAAAAACCGCTCGATCTCAAATCGAGTATTCGGGCTGCATACTGCCACGTCGAAACTTCAAAAAATCATAACTTCCTCATACGAAGTCAGATTTGGGCGTTCCTTTTATGCACGCTCTCGGTTTAACGAAATCTACGACTTTCGTTTAGATCGCTAAGGCTAAATATCGCTCTATCTTAAATTCATATTTTACGTCACTTGGCGTCGTGCCGGTTCTGTCTCGAAACTTCGACAGGTCATAGCTTCTTCGTTATAACTCGGATTTTGGCATTTCTTATATCTCCGGAATCCTTGTTTCAACCACTACAACTTTATGCAAGGATGTCGGGCTTATCTCACACTTTATTTTTGATGCTTATTTTATTCTTAATTCATTAAATTATAAAAATTAAGAAAATACACACATAAATCACATAATTCAAATAATTCACAAATAATACATTCTTATTATTTCAAGTTGAGTTACAAGGTTAACCTAGACTATTAGTCTATTACATTGCTAAAAATGGCAAGCCTAGAAACACGGGCGTTACACTATAGCAAGTAACACTCCCTATACATGGAAAATATGTATTAAAAGTATACCGTATATAATGTATTAATTTGATATTAGAATTAATACCTTTTTCCTGTCTGTCATAAATGTAAAATTCGAGTTGGTTCCTAAACCCAAATCATCCCCTAGACAAGTTAGAAAACAAGTCCATGAGTTGGTTCTCTCAGATTCCACAACAGTATAAGCCAATGGATATGTTCCATTATTACCATCAATTCCCTATATAAGTAAACATTTCACAATTAACCTAAAATTCAACTTTTTATAATATAAATGTAGTTCATATGAAAAAAGGTTACCACAGCTGAAAGTATTTGTCCTAGGTATGGACCCTTCATAAAAGCACCATCGAGACCAACAAAGTCTCTTCTTCTAGCAACAAATCCCTATTTTAAAGGACCAAGACAGATGTATATGCGCTTGAAAGTTCTAGTTTCTGCCTTTGGATTTGGTTCACTCTCTACATTAATATTCACAATCGTGTTTGGGTTATGTTTTTGAAGTTCTAGAACATTATCTCTCAATAAAGCATACTAACCAACATAATTCCCTCGCACCTGATTGAGAGCTTCAATTCTAGCCCTAAACACTTTCATCTTGGAAAGTCCCACTTGGTAATCATGTTGTAGTTGTTCTTGTAAAGCACGAATTAGAATAGTTGGGTTAGATTCCACCTGAGTTGGAATTTGTTTGGCGAGAAACTTATAAGTACAAGCTTTAACATTCCACGTGTGTTTGGACACAACGATGTTCTTTGTTGTAAGATTTGACCATCCAGTTTATGTCATGTTTCCATTTACTAGCATAGAGGCTCCACGCCATTTTTCTTCATCTTCATTGTTGACTTCTTGTTGACCTTCCTCACTATTGTCTAAGTTTCCCAGTTTTGGTATTGTCCCCCTACACAGAACTCTTACCCTATTTTTGTTATTTTTTCAAAATCAAGTTCCCTTCTTATCTCAATAGCATGGAGTTTAACTCTTTCTTTAAACTCTTAGGCTATATTAAAGGTTTGAAGGATATAAAATGGTTCAACAACGTTTGCTTCATCATTCTCGTGAGTTCTTTGGATAGCTTTGATGGTCTTCTTTCATTGAGCAACTGATCCTTCATCCGAAGATGAGCCTGACATAAGAACCTCGTTATTTAGTACTTCATTAAGATCCCCAACTTCATTCTCTTCTTGTACCACATTGCCATTCTTACCTCCAACCCACCCTGTATCCATATCAATGTTATCATTGAAATCATTCATGTCAACTTCAACATCATCTAAGATGTTGTCATTGTCAACATAAAAGTCTATGTCATCGGACTCACTAGATTCACAACCACTATCATCCCCAAATTTGCCCCTACTTCCAAATTAAATTCATCTTCATTTATGTCCTCAAATTTGTCCCCATTTTCAAATTCAGCCCATGGATCTTCTCCATCCTTGTTACCATCCCCAAATTCGACTTCATTTGTGTGCTCAAATATGTCCCCAGTTTCAAATTCAACACATGGAGTTTCTTCCTTGTTATTATCCCCATTATCAAAAACAGTTAAGTCCATATTGTCATTTCCAGTGAGGTCCACTACATTAGCCTCTTTAGAAGCATCCCCAACAATATTTTTCCCCATTATCATACCAATCTAAGAAAAGCCTATGAGAACATGTTGGAGGTTCACTAATTTTCTTTATTTGAATTTTTGATTGATTTGGGGACATTGTGTACGTATGTAATCGGGTTTTTCCGTGCTCAATATAGACTTCAATCAACTTATGCTTGGAAATAAAGGTACCCAGATGTCTCACATCCTGATCACTACCCAAAACAAATAACTCGAAATCTAAATCTGAAAAAAGCTCGTTTAAAGTGATAGTATAAAGGTATACCTTCATCAACATAGTCTAACTATTCCATCATTTCATCAATGTCATGCACTGAGAAAGTATCCATGTCGAGTAAGTCCACATACGTTTGTTTTCCTTTGATGTACTTTCTTCCATGAAATTTGGTGAACTCTCCTCCATGGTACAAGCTAATGGAAAAGATTGTCGAATGCCCCCCTGTGAAATAACCCACTTCAGCTTAGGTTTCAATAAAATCGAAGTTATAGAAGATTGAGAATGAAAGAATACTTACAGTAACGATGTCCAACATCGATTTCCTCTATATTTGCACGTATACGCCACAACACCATTGTGTTTCAAAGACGAAGATATCACGATTAGGGTTTTCTTATCTTGACTGTGAAATTTTTGTTTGGGTTTTCTGAACGGAAAGATGGAGTACTGAGAAAATGATCGCCTCTCCGTATACAACATGTCGGTAACTCAAGAATATTAAAAAGACAAAAATGCCTCTGCGTGCCTTGCACGTGGGGTGCTTTAACGGAGCAACTAGACGGAATGTTAAGTGAGGTACTAGGCGGGTTACGAATTTTAACATTAGGGATCATCCGAGTTAAAAATCTTGCTCAGGGACTAGGCACGCAAGTTACTCCAAACCACAGGGACCATCCGTGTAATTTACCTAATTAAATACATACAACTGAAAAAGCAAATATAAGTAAAATAATTACAACGAATCCAAAAACACCAAATCTCTCTATTATAATAAATGTATAAGTTTATTCTCATATTTACAAGTGTCACAATATTATAAATCTTTATTAATATTATATGTCATCTAACATGCCACATGTCAACATATTAACTCTCCATTTTAAATTTTAAACTTTAAATTTCTCACTTTAATTATATTAAATTAATAATTGATTCTTCATTTCAAATTTCAAAATTTAAATTTCACACTTTGATTACATTAAATTAATAATATTAGAATAAAAAATAAAATAAAATTAATATATATATATATATATATATATATATATATATATATATATATATATATATATATATATATATATATATATATATATATATATATATAGTCAAGATCAAATAAGAAAGAAATTATTGGTAGGAAGGTAAGAAGGTTTTTTTCTACATATTTTTTCGCGAACAAACAAAATGAATCATTAGATGATTCATTTGTAAGATGATTCACAAAAAAAAAATTCTCAAGAAAAACATCTAGATGATTCATTTATATAATGATTTTGTTGTTATTCACTAAGATTGTCATAAAAATAAATTTTTTTTCTTAATTTACTTAAAAATGAATCATAAAAATGTTTTTTTGAGAATTTTTTCTTGTGAATCATCTTACAAATAAATCATCTAGTGATTCATTTTTTTTGTTCGTCAAAATATTATGTAGAAGAAAAACTTCTTACCTATATATATATATATATATATATATATATATATATATATATATATATATATATATATATATATATATATATATATATATATATATATATATATATATATATATATATATATAATAAGGTGATATAATTTCATGCATTTATTTAAATCAACGATTATAATTTTATATAACTAAAAATAATATCTCTTAATTAATAATTTATTTTAAATAATTGATTAATAATTTTAAGCTTTTACTATGAAAGTTTAATTAATTTTAAAACCATGGTTCTCATGAGTTATAAACTAATACATAATAAATAAATAACCAACAACTAAGGCCTAAACGCACAAAGGCAATGCACTAAACAATTCTACATCCACATGCAAAACTAATTAATGATCTCTTATATTACATGAGAGTTATAAAATTAAACACTTAATCATTCTATTGAAGTTTTAAATATCAACTTGCATTTAAACTTTGAGATCTTTTGATCACTACCAAACAATCATCAATTTTTGATGATGATAAACAATCAAAAGAAATCAAAACATGTAATCAAGAGATTCAAAAGAGACAATGATAAGTTGATCTCTTGAATTAACTAATTAGTCAACATAATCATTCAAAATAGCTAGTTCAACAACATGGGATAAAAAAAGTTCACTCATTTCTTTGTATACACTACTAATTCCATTAAAAATCCTGTCAAAAAAATACCAACTTCCACTAACAATAAATCAAGAAAGACACTATCAAGATTCAAGATTCAAAATTCAAGATTTAAGATTCATGATTCAAGATTCAAGATTCAAGATTCATGATTCAAGATTCAAGATTTCAAGATTTCAAGATTCAAGCTTGAGTTCCAGTCAATGCCTTCATCTGAATATGATTAGGATCAGCAACAGAAGATCCAGATGATGTTGGAATCGCCTCATAACTCCCAAATCTCCTAACTCCAACAACTTTAGCAGTAACAGCATAAGTCACAATCAAAATCAGAACCACAAACAACACATAAACCACAAACACAAGATCAAGAATCGCAGTAGCTCTCAACTTAGAATCTTCAAGATCACATTTTGTTGACCCTTCAACTCCACTCACAACATCAAGAAGCTTATGGCATCCATCTGGTATAAAAGCATCCACATATAAAGAAAGCCCTGTTTGCAAAGACCATAACCCTTGTAAACAAATCGAAGCCCCAAGTGCCACGTCAGCAACAAAGAGTCTCGGGTGGCATGCAAGTATGATACAGAGCACAGCAGAGATAGCTGAAATCATGGCTGAAACTGAGTCACATTTTGCTTCAAGATCAGACATTTGTAAGGAGGCTGAAGATGAAGAAGTGGAGTATTGAAGGAAGAAGAGAGCAGATGCAGTTCCAAAGAAGAGATCGGGTGGGAAAGGGAGGAGAGAGGTGGTTTCTGAGATGAGGAGAGTTAGAGAGAGAATGAGAAACAGGAAAATAACACCTGCAGATTGGAGAGAGGTGAAGTGATGAACAGGGGAACGACCTTTTACTAAAGGGTCTGAATCGAATGAGACTGTGGTTTGATGGATGAAGGAGATGAGAAGACAGAGGATTAAGAGGTAAATTTGAAGGTACCTTGTGAAATGTTGAGATTGAGATTGAGAATTCCATGTGAATTGATGATAGGGTTTTGTGAAGTAATCTCTAGGGGATCTTAGATGGTTTCTTGTGGTGCAGATTAAGTGATAAAGTCCCATTGAGAGTAATGTTGATGATGTGAATATGTGGTAAATCAATCCAGACATTTTGTGTTGTGTGTTTGTTATTATCTTAACCCCTTTGTGTATTCTTTTCAATGACAAAAGTGATGATTAAAGATGGGGTATCTCCTTTAATGCTAATTGGAATATCATCACCTTTCATTCACTTGAACCTGAAAGCAAGAAGAAGGTAGAACAATTCATCATAATTTGAATCTTGAATAGAAAAAAGCAGATCCATTCATCATATAGTGTTCATATAAAAACTGATACATTTGTTACATTATGCATAAGAATATGGATTCATAAACGATAAAACCTAGAAATATCTCACAAGTAAGCTCATTTTAAGTTCTATATACAGTTTAAACAATACAAAATCTCCCAAATTACCGAATTATGGTCAAACAAGAAATGTTACAAAACAAGTACCATGCGAGAATGCTCTAATCAATTACAAAACATCAAGCAGTTGATCAAGATCGAATTATCAATCCTAAAATGAGCAAAATCCTAACGCTAATATACTATACAGGAATCAAAAAGGATGCAAACAAGCAAAATTTAGCAAATAAAGAAACGATAAAAGATTATAAGATAAAACAAACCTTGATCATGACCGGCGATGAAGTAAGAACCAGTAAAGTTTTGAGGGTTTTACTGAAATCGATCGGGGAAGAAGACTTGGGAGGGGAGAATGTCGATGACCCGATTGAGAGAACGCGCATGAAAGCAGCAAGAAGGTCAACGAGATTGAGAGTGGCTCGATCGAAAGAAAGAGTGCGATGGAATGAGATCCAGAGAGGGAGTGAGATCGAGAGAGAAGCGGCTGTAAAGAGTGGGGTTTTTTAGGGATCTTTTGTCCGGAAATCATAACAATTGAATAAAGGGAATTTTGGGTCGCCGAGATTGTTACTTTGTTTGGTTTGAGTTTTGGTGTTTAGTTGGGAATAGTTGTTGAATTATCATGCTATTAGACCTTAAGAAATGTCCAATTACATTAATTTGGTGATTAAATTAAGTTTTTCTTATTAGACCTTAAGAAATGTCCAATTACATGCTATTAAATAGTTGTTGAATTATCATTTATGTTATTATTTTTATATATTCTTAGAAAAAACTTAGAAAAACTCAATATGTTGTGTCAAAATACACGAATTAACCATCGTATTTACGTTTTGTATGTTTAAACTATCTTATCTTTTAACACTATACTTGCCCATATTGTCACTTTTTTCATGTCACATTAGCATCTCCTACATTATGAAGCTTTCATTTGGCCTTCATCCCTACATATCAGGTGAGTAGGTACTTCCATTTCAAGTTTGTCATCATCATCGTTGAGATTAAATCTGACACGAGCATTCGAATGATCATTTCGAAGCACCACTTGGACGATCCAGCGGTTGCAGCATATGCCATTTTGAGCATTTTGTGACAACCTCCCAAACTATTATAATTTGAACGTCTTCCTTTGTAACATCGTAAAAATTTGAACAATTTTTCACTTTTGTAACCCATAAAATATAATTTGAAATCATAAACAAATCATTATATCAACATTGTATCAATACAAAACCCAAGATCAATATATATATATATATATATATATATATATATATATATATATATATATATATATATAAACTCCGGTATGCGTGTGTACGGATCATGCCGGCGCCTTCCCGCGATCATCGTTGGTACCTGAAACACATAACACATACCACTGTAAGCATAAATGCTTAGTGAGTTCCCCAAAATACCACTCTAACACATAATAGCCACTCGAGACTGTAACTCTGTTGAACCTCTGGTTTATGTGTCTCAGTGGGGCCCTCCAGCCCCAACTCTCTATGGGCCCTCTGGCCCTAACTCTGTGGACCCGAAAGTCCTAACTTTGTGGACCCGAAGGTCCTAACTCTATAACTCTGAATCATACATAGCACATATCACAATAAATCATAGCACATAAATAACATGCAATTACACTGACATATAACTCTAAAATACTCTATCACATAACTCTTTTACCACACTAGGTAAAGTATAGTGAGAAGACTCACCTCAGGCGTCTCGGTAAATCTCTGACTCGGTAGGAATATTGCCTAGTCTTCGCCTATTCACATAAAGTAAATACTCTTATAAATATAATTCTCAAGACTAGACTCAACCTGCCTTTGGCACCCTCAGGAGGGAAAAAGGCTATTTTACCCCCCCCCCCTCTCAACACAAGTACTCCATTGACCAAACCCTAAAAGTCAACGGTAGCACTTTGAACCTACTCGCTAAGTGCACTCTGGTGACTCGGCGAGTTCACACATGTCCTTTAACACTTTGTCCCGCTTGGCACGCCGAGTCCCTCCCTATGCTTGACAAGTCATACTAGGCATGAATCGTGGGGCCACCACAACTCAACTCATCGAGTCTCAAGAACAACTCGACGAGTGTCGCCTTAAACTCCAGTCCTCTAACTCCCTTCTGACTCACTGAGTCATCCCCCAACTCAGCAAGTCTACTCACTGAGCAATTTACGTGAAACCCTAACCCTACTCGCCGAGTCTCAGGACCAACTCGGCGAGTTCATGCCATGCACAAACTCTACTGGCCTCCTGAGGTCAGATCTGTTTCCCTAAATCAAAGATTTGGCCTTCCCAAGCATGAATGTCACGTAAAGCTCGAAACTTGATGCTTGTATAACAACAACAAGGCATCAAAAGGAGATTTAGTCCCAAAAATGGCAACCTAAGTCCAATAACCCCAAACTAATCCATAAAGCTCCAAGGGTTAAGGTCTCTGGACCTCTTTAAGTCCAGATCCAAGGCACAAACTCGAAGAGGGACCATTTGCTCCACATAATCACTCTCCGAAGGGGTTAGAAAACCCTAACTCTATAGATCAACACCAAAACTAAAGGAGGTTCGAACTATTACCTCAAAATGAAGTCTCTGAATCCCTGGAACTGCTAGAATCGCACCTCCTTCTTGCTAAACCAAAGATACAAGGATCAAAAGTGTCTTCTTCTTCCTTTCAACGATTTGGCTCACTTAGGGTTCTCTCAAGGGATTGGTAGCTGCAATGAGAGGCTACAAGTGTCCTTAAATAGGCTCTAAACCCGGGGATTTAGGGTTTCATTAAACAACGTGGACTCATCGAGTCCACTCATGGACTCGCCGAGTCCAAAGCGAATCCGGATGAACAATCACGACCCTACTCGGCGAGTCTATGCATCAACTCGCCGAGTTCCTTCTCATAATTCAAAATAATTAAATAAAATAATATACCTAGAAACCCGGCTGTTACAATTCTCCCCCACTAGAATCAGACTTCGCCCTCAAAGTCTCACTCTGGAAATAACTCCGCATGCTGCTCACGCATCTCACGCTCCGGCTCCCAAGTCAGCTCGGACCCCTTCCGGTGCTGCCACTGAACCAAAACCAGAGGCACTTCCTTGTTCCTCAAAACCTTGATCTTCCGATCCTTGATCGCCACGGTCTCTCGGCATAATTCAGGCTCGCATCCACCTGAATGTCCTCCAATGGCACCACTACCGACTCATCTGCTATACACTTTCGTAACTGCGATACGTGGAAAGTGTCATGAATCTGACCCAATTCTGCAGGTAGCTCCAAGCGATACGCTACCCTACCCACCCTTGCGATCACTTTAAACGACCCAATATACTGGGGTCCCAGCTTGCCCCTCTTTCTGAATCGAATCACTCCTTTCCAAGGAGATACTTTCAGAAGCACCAAATCACCGACCTGAAATTCGAGCTCGGATCGTCGCCTATCAGCATAACTCTTTTGGAAACTCTGAGCGGTCAACAACCTCTGCCTGACCTGCTGGATCTACTCAGACATCTGAAGCACTATCTCCGTACTACCCATCACACGCTGTCCCACTTCTCCCCAACAAATGGGGGTCCAACACCTCCTCCCATACAACAGCTCAAAGGGTGGCATACCAATGCTCGAATGATGGTTGTTATTGTAGGAAAATTCCGCTAAGGGTAAGTACGTGTCCCAACTCCCACCGAAATCCAACACACATGCCCGGAGCATATCCTCGAGCGTCTGAATCGTCCTCTCGCTCTGTCCGTCAGTCTGGGGGTGGTACGCGGTACTGAAATGCAGTCTAGTACCCAATTCCTCATGGAATTTCTTCCAGAATCTAGAGGTGAAATGCACATCTCGGTCTGAGACAATCGAGATCGGCACTCCATGCCGTGCTACCACTTCCCTTACATACATCTCCGCCAACCTCTCTGCGGAAGAGCTCTCGCTAATAGCGAGGAAATGAGCGCTCTTCGTCAATCGATCTACAATCACCCAAATTGCATCGACGCCCCTCGCAGTCCTTGGCAATTTGGTGATAAAATCCATGGCGATTTGTTCCCACTTCCACTCGGGAATCTCCAACGGCTGCAACTTGCCGTGAGGTCTCTGATGCTCGGCCTTAACCCTGCGACATGTTAGACACCTCTCCACGAACCATGCAACGTCCCTCTTCATACAGGGCCACCAATACTCCCTTTTTAGGTCCAAATACATCTTAGTGGCCCCGGGATGGATCGAGAACTTCGATCGATGAGCCTCTTCCATCAAAATAGTACGCGTTCCACCCACATGCGATACCCAGATCCGACCCTGAAACATCATAAGTCCCCGACCATCGGTGACGAACTCTGATACTTGCCCGACAACCCGCTCTCTCTTCTGGTTTTCTAGCCTAACGGCCTCGGCCTGAGGTCATCGAATGGTGTCCAATACCGGAGTCATCACCGTCAACCTCATACAAATGTCACGCATCGGAACACTCTCCGCCCTACGACTCAAGGCATCGGCCACCACATTGGCTTTTCTCGGGTGGTACAGGATCTTGCAATCATAATCCTTTACCACATCCAGCCATCTCCTCTGCCGCATATTCAGGTTGGGCTGATCCATCAAATACTTCAGGCTCTTGTGATCCGTGTATTGTTGGGTTTTGAGCAATCTAACACTTCCTAAGTGTGCATGCAACCCTAATAAACCTTGGATCTATGTTTGTCTAAATACATGCAAAATAATAAATTTTCCAAGGTTTATAACCTATCTAACATGGCATGGGGAACATTTCAACATAAAAGAGTTAGAAGAGATTACATACCTTTTGATGAGTTTGGTTCTAAGGAGTTTGAGGGCCAAGCACCAATAGTGTGAATGCCTCAAATGGAATCACAAAACACCACAAACTTTTGGAAAACTTTGAGAGAGTATACACACTTGTATAACTTCAGCCACACACAAGCTTACACACACTAATTCACTAGTTGCCATTTCATGCTTCATAAGCATGCTTATATATTGTGCATGGTTAGGGTGAAACCCTAATAACCCATGTCTTTTCCTTTCCAAGGATCCATGGGTTAAAAGCTCCATGGATCATCCATGGACTTCCATACAAGCCTAGCCCATTAACAAATGAGTGTTAGCCCACACCATATAAAATCAATAGCCCATAATCTAATTAGTCTTTCTTTTAATCTCTAAATTAATTCATAATTAATTTAAGACTAAAACTAATTAAATAACATAACTTCATATTAATATATTATAAATTATAACATATTAATAAACATATGTGTATAACTCTCATAAAATTATCCATAAATAGTTTGGATGAGATGCAACCCAAATGGACCATGCCGGTCGGGTCAAGTATATACCAAATAAGTTATGGACTTAGACACCTTATCCAATAGACTCCCACTTGGATAAGTCTAATAACTGTATTTGCCTATATAACTTCAGGAACCAACCAGAAATTGTAGCTCTCGAAAACTCCGTCGAACTATGAAGCGCCATTTTTAAGGCAAGTGATCTCATTATCCTCTGTTCTCATGATATCAGCCGGACAAACACATGGAACTATGTCTTGCTTATTGTCTAGCAGTTGTTTCTCGATTTTCGATTTGTTTGACAAAGAA